ATATATGTATGTAACAGCTGTAAAACTAATACAGTGTTAAATATCTTTCATAGTAATATTTTATTTTACAAATGATGTCTATATAGTATTTCTATTTTGCCCCTACCCTTGAATCCACCACTGAATAATTCTAATTCATGTTTTGTCTTATCTTTCATGAGAAGTATACTATATTGAAATTATGTTATGATGTTATATACATTGTTAAAAATAGAGAATATGTATTAATGATATATTTGTAGCCTATTGTCAGGTATTTTTGTTCACTTAGTTCAGCAATCTATAAAGTGCCTTAAATCTCTATTGGATATCCAGGATGTTAAATAATAAATACTGCTGTACTAGCAAAAAAAATGATATTAGTAATAACACTACAGTAATTCAGTTATGAGTTGTATATAGTATAAACAAATATGTTGTAATGTATATTGTTAAATATGAAGAATAAGAATTTGAAATGAAATAACCATAGCATAGTATTAAAGGAATATTGGTTCTATTTTAAATAAATGTAAATGTACATTATTTGTAGTTGATGGGGTTGTTTGGACTAATTACCATGTTAGAAGTTGAATGATGTAAAAAGTGAACCGTTTTTATTATTAAAAAACTAAGTATACCAGTTGTATAATAACATGTATTTGGCTGCTTTTGACCAGCAAAATACCACAGGCTTCTGAAGTATTCTGGTGGTATGACACTCGCCTTGACAGTAATATGCAGCAGGTCCTAGTCCCACTGGAGAAAATTTCCTCGAATATCTGATTATAAATTTTTCTTTAAAGGACTTTATATGCTTAATACAGTGGCATTACTTGTTCCTGTATGAGTACTGTATCTATCGTATCTATATACTATAAAAATAAAATGACATCTGTAATGTATATGAAAATAATAATAGACCCGAACAAGAAAGTGATTAACTATCTGGACGTAACGCTAATGTAATATTATAGAAACTGGAAGCGAAATTTAGTACCAGTTTCTCCTATGTAATTACCAATCAAATGTAAATAACGTTAGTTATGAGTGGGTGGGGGTATTTAAAAATGATTACAGTATTGGGAATTTTAAAATTATGTTTACACGACACGACACATACATGACAGGAGTGTACACATTATACATATACTGTACAGTGTACAGTGACATTCAATCTAATGCTGTAGTTATCTAAAATCTATTCATACATTGTTTATTAGGCATCTGCATACTATTAAAACATGATGCCATGTACTACGTAACAGTACATAAATTATTTGCATAGAACTTTACGTCTTCCACGTAACTTGAGGGCGCTGTTGACAGCTGTCTACCCTGCTGTCTACTGGAGTTCCTATCAAGGTAATTTAACAAAAGGACGCACATCTCGGGACATCAAAGGTTATAACTCTGGCATCGACATTCTAGGCGCACGTGCGTCCCTACACGCTGAACGTCACAAAAACCATAGCAACCAGACCA